CAGAATTTGAGCCGGACGGTCGGCGTGGAGTCTGACTCGTCCGAGTTCTGTTTGGCGAGGAGAGATTGATTGCTGCACCTTTTGTTTTTCACAAACAAGACCACAGTTTGCATTCAGTTTGCATACAGTCTGCATACAGTTACTTTGGTGGTGTCATTCATTCAGTCTGCATACAGTTTACAAGGAGGATTACAATTCCGTGTAGCTGTAGCACATCTGTCGTAATCTGAATCAAGGGACATAATGATCAGAATTATTGCAGCTAAATCTATGACTAGCTACAGTTCCCTGATTGATCACCAGCTGGGCTCAAGTTGCTATGGGCCCTTGAGACATCGGAAACCTGAACTGAACTGAAACTGTATCTTTGATGGTACACAAGTCTGTCAAATAGGCCTCTGCTGGTTTCCCAATGACCTGGCTTTGTCCTGGGAGATCTTTGCGAGAGGCAAGTTGTCCGTGGTGCATCTTTGACAGCAAAGTAGCTGCAAGCTTTAGACCTTGAGCTGAAGTGACTTGGAAACATATGACTGTAAACGTATAAGTTCGCATTACTGGTTGAGTTGTCCTGTTCCTTCCTTGCAGTGCAGCATCTGTGAGTGTCCTATGTATTGTAGGCATCTTGAATATGTCCATTGTTGATCCCTGCATCTGTAATGACACAATTTGTGCCTTGCCTTCGATAAACAATATGTCAGTATCCTGTTTACTGTACGCAGTTTAGCAATTCGTCTTGTAACTGTTGATGATGGCTTAGAGATGTGTGGGAAGTATGGCAACTCCTTCAAGTGAACATGGCAATCTTCCTAGAAAATTCTTTCTTTGTTTCTGAAATTTTTGCCATAAAAAACATGTGCCAATGACATGCTCCGCGACGAACGTTCGCTGGCTATTTAGGTCCTTGAACAATCGTCCTGGGTGTAGAGAGAGAATTTTTTTAAAAAAAAATTGCGTGGTAGATAATTTGATGCGTGAGGTCCGCTCTAAATTTCAACTCATTTTCTACAAGTGATGATGGCTCTCCTATGTGTTTCTTCTCCCACGAGGCTTAACTATGCTCAAAAATTTTAATTTTAATTCATAATTTAATAGGTCGAGACAACCTTCCAAAAATGATTGCTCATCTAAAAAAGATGGACTATATATAGTGAGACTCATTAAACTCTTTGAAAACAAATCTAGTGACAACAATTCCTGCCACGTAAACCTCGTACTGCCCAAGAATCAATTAGTGAAATGTTTTCTCGAGAAATAAATTCGCCTTGTGTTTTGAAGTGAAATAAATTCGCCTTGTGTTTTGAAGTGAAATAAATTCGCCTTGTGTTTTGAAATGAATTTAGTATATGTTATTGTAAAACAAGTAGTAGAGGATTTTGCTTTATTTTTCTTGACGCGATGAAGGAGACATCAAAATGGGAGCATGAGCAGGGTATACGTTTTCCTCCAGGAGCAACAGGAAACCAAACCCCCAAAGGAAAATCAATCCCCTCCTCCACTCCACTCCACCGCAATGGCGTCGTTGGCGCTGCCCTTCCCCGATGCCCCTCCGGCGCCGCCCTGCAGTTAGTGAATAATTGTTTTGGGGCAATTAAATATTTTATTAAATGTTGGATGCTATTTGTTGATTAGTTAGTGAATAATTGTAACCTGTTGAACATTTTTAATTCATTGCTTTATGAAACTATAATTTGACTTGTCATTTGAATTTGTATTTGAACTAAGTTTGAAATAAGTGAGGTTAGGAAAATTTAATCATGATGATTTGACATCATTAACAGTGGTTTACTGTAGCTGAACTATCAGGGTGTCATAAATCTCCTCCACTACAAGAAATCTCGTCCCGAGATTTAAGAGGTGAAGTAAGCATGGAAGTTCTGGTTACGAAATTCTAGCAGATCTTTTCGTTTTGGGTTGCTCTTCGAAGAAGTCGATCCCTTGCGTTGATGGCTTCATTTCTCTTCTTCCGGTCATAATGATGAAGTCATCATCTTTTCCTCGGATCTTCATCGTAGTTACGGAAAAGATAAAGGGGAAATATCCCAGGAAAGGACGGAGCTCAACACATGTTAGGCACCTGGGGCTATCTCGGTGAATGAGGCATAGAGGAATTTCTCGAGTTGAAATTCAGAAAAACGTCGAGAGCAAAGTAAGAAGGTGCAAATAGAATGTTTCAAGCAGACAGGGAATTGTTCGTTGCCTGAAAACGGAGTGCGAGAGGGGTTCAGAGCAACGAAAATAATTATTGCGCTTAATACTAAAGTAGATTATCTCTAGGAAGGTGGCTCGTGAATATCATACGAAGCCAAGTGGGTGGAATAACTTTGGAATCTCATACGGAGAATATGTGTTTTTTACAGCTGAAAGAGTGCATATGATTTTTTATATTATAAAACAAGTAGTAAAGGATTTTTCTTTATTTTTCTTCACATTGGAGGAGACGTCAAAGTGGGAGCACGAGCAGGGTATACGTTTTCCTCTAGCAGAAACGGGAAACCAAACCCCCAAAGGAAAATCAATCCCCTCCTCCACTCCACTCCACCCCAGTGGCGTCGCTGGCGCCGCCCTTCCCCGATGCCCCTCCGGCGCCGCCCTGCAGATAGTGAATAATTGTTTTGGGGCAATTAAATATTTTATTAAATGTTGGATGCTATTTATTGATTAGTTAGTGAATAACTGTAACCTGTTGAACATTTTTAATTCACTGCTTTATGAAACTATAATTTGACTTGTCATTTGAATTTGTATTTGAACTAAGTTTGAAATAAGTGAGGTTAGGAAAATTTTAATTATGATGATTTGGCATCATTAACAGTGGTTTACTGTAGCTTAACTATCAGGGTGTCACAAATCTCCTTCACTACAAGAAATCTCGTCCCGAGATTTAAGAGGTGAAGTAAGCATGAAAGTTCTGGTTACGAAATTCTAGCAGATCTTTTCGTTCTGGGTTGCTCTTCGAAGAAGTCAGTCCCTTGCGTTGATGGCTTCATTTCTCTTCTTCAGGTCATAATGATGAAGTCATCATCTTTTCCTTGGATCTTCATCGTAGTTACGGAAAATATAAAGGGAAAAAGTCCCATGAAAGGACAGAGCTCAACACATGTCAGGCACCTGGGGCTATCTCGGTGAATGAGGCATAGAGAAATTTCTTGAGTTGAAATTCAGAAAAACGTCGAGAGCAAGGTAAGAATGTGCAAATAGAATGTTTCAAGCAGACAGACAATCGTTCGTTGCCTGAAACGGAGTGCGAAAGGGGTTCAGAGCAACGAAAATAATTACTCCCTCCGTCTAGGTGTGTAAGGCTAGCCATAGTGGGAGTAACTTAGGTAGTAACTTAACATATCCCAAGACAATTTTGCTTATGTGGCAAGTATTTAATGAGGAAAGAGGTGCTTGTGGTAACATAATATGTTACTGTAACATAGCGCTTTCCGAGGCAAAATGAGTCTATGAGATAATAAATGAAGCAATCTATGATACTACTACTATGTTACTTTGCACTATGGAGGTAGTAATTTACACTAGTGTCATATGCATGACACTAGTCTAAGTTACTCCCCACTATGACCAGCCTAAGTCATTTTACGAAAACGAAATAATTCGAAAACACTTAGGCGCGGTGCATTAAATTCTACCTCGTTTTTTGTTTCTTGACGTATCAACGAATAAGAGATGTGGAGTGTGCATACTTTTAATGACTTGAGACTACCAAACAAGACATGCAGTGGTTAGTTCATTGCATGCAATGTTATTAATTAGCAAATGAACATTAAGTTCTCTCGTTTTCTTCTCCTCCTTGGTCACGGTGCACAACCTAAGATGACTTACTCATCTAGACGGAGGAAGTACTGCGCTCAATACTAAAGTAGATTATCTCTAGGAAGGTGGCTCGTGAATATCATACGAAGGCAAGTGGGTGGAATAACTTTGGAATCTCGTATGGAGAATATGTGCTTTTTACAGCCGAAAGAGTGTCGTATGATTTTTATATTATAAAACAAAGTAGAGAATTTTGCTTTGTTTTTCTTGACGTTGAAGGAGACGTTAAAATGGGTATACGTTTTCCTCCAGGAGAAACGGGAAACCAAACCCACAAAGGAAAATCAATCCGCTCCTCCGTTCCCCACTCCACTGCACCCCAATGGCGTCGCCGGCACCGCCCTTCACCGATGCTCGTCCGGCGCCGCCCTGCATCCCTGACGCCCCGGCGGCTCCGCCCTGCTGCCCCGACGCCTCGCCGGCCATGGAGGCGCAGGCGACCCTCCCGGACCACCTGACGGAGGACATCCTCCTCCGCCTCACCACGGCCGCCGACCTCGCCCGCGCCTCCATGGCCGGGCCCTCCCTCCGCCGCATCGTCGCCGAGCACTCCTTTCTCCGTCGTTTCCGC